GAGAAGACGTAGCTCTTGTCTCCTCTTTCTTGTGATATTTTGGTATCAAGCGCACCTGAAATTAAAGTCTGCCAATGATCTCATGTGGCAGTTTATCTTTCAAGCTGACAGCCCGCATGTTACAACCGAAAACATCCACAAAGATCTTCCAGTAACAGGAATTAAATATAGCCTCAAGGGATCCAATGAGAGGGGGTGTTTTTTTTTTTGTTTTTTTTTGCACTTTACAAACTCATCCAAATTCCACAAATTAGTCACAGGAGAGGAGGCTGAGTTTCGATGGGAGTGCGGCCTCCCAGGAGTGAGCTCAGCGGGGGTGCGCGCATCATTAGAAGTCATAGCGCCTCTTTAAATGTCTCATAAAGGTGAAAGATTGAGGGGGCCGCGCTCATTAACCTTTTCGCCCGGCGTCGGAGGCTCTTTTCGCTTCTCGGAGAACAAGCGCGAGGATGGAAACATACATCCGGTTCGTGGCGGACTCTCGACGTGCCCATCGGCGTGCATGTGAGCGTGATCGTGTAGCACGGGTCAGTTTGGAGTTAACCCGCAAAGCTAATGAGGAGAGGCTCGAAAATGGAGGAGTGGATGGAGGTTGCGCAACGCAGAGAGGAGCTTTTTGCAGCATCAGTCAGTTGCCCCCACCTAGTGGGCAAGAGCTCGTCGTACGGCTAAAAATCATTCGGAGCGAGAGGCCTCCCATTCAGCAAACTTGAAGGATGACAGACGGCAGCGTGCATTCGGAGTCTGAAATGGAACCAAAATTTGGCTTCACAAATTAAAAAAAAAAAAAAATAAGTAGAGGGCTTAAAAAAAAATGAATTGACTTTATTATGCAATACTTTTTTTTGCGCTCAACAAATAATACATAAATAAAAAATATATACGAACATTAATCCAAGCTAAACTAAAATGAAGCATTTCCTCCAAAATAAAAACGAACAAACCGGCACTAAATTAAAGCTAAATGAATTGAGGGCGGGAGAGTCAAAACGAATTAAAAACAAACTCATGAGAAACGAATTCAAACTAACTGAATTATTGTGAAAAATCCCAAACTAGAACAACCCCGGTCCTCAGGCTTTTTTTTTTTTTAATTCCTCTACGCGCGTCTGATTTTCCAGTGTCTCAGCAGCATGTGGGCGGGATGAGTGCTGACTCAAATGAGCCGCTAAAAATATGCTGTCAAAAAAACAAAAAAAAAACTAAAGTCTATTTCTTTATCCAGGAATGACGAGTGTTTTTAATGTCTGCGGTCTATTTCTCATCGACGCCACAAAATACAAAGACAAGCTATGCACACCACTAACTAGAAGAGACGCACAAACGAGTTGAACGGGGTTCGGCGTGCAAACATCTAGAGATCGCACTTCATGATCTCTCTGAGGCAGATGGTGGCATAGCATGAGGAGTCCAGGTCAAAGTTCAAGGTGAGCGTGAGCGATTCATCGCGCTCGGCGTCCTCCGCCGTCGCCTTGAAGCGTCCTTCGCTCTTTCCGCCGCCGTTTCCCGTCGCCCGTCCTCCTCCCGCTCCTTCCTCGCCGGTCTGGAGCCGGTAGCTGAGGTTGCACAGGTTGGCCAATAAGGGGCGGTAGCAGCCTGGCAGGTTCAGCTTGAGGCCGCCCACTCGGAAGCGGCAGTTGTCCAGGCCGTCTCTGGCGAGTCTCTCCCGGTACCAGGCGCCCATGGCGTTCTCGGGGTACCTCACCGCGTTTCCCGGCATGGGCAGCAGCACCTGACGACGCGACTCAACGTTTGAGTTTGAAATCCGACGTGCAAAATGTTCCCTCGGCGCCATACCTGAGCAAGGGCGTAGGCTCCCTGTCGCTCTTCTGCTTGTGTCACCACGTGGATCTGCGAAAAGGCAACAGAGCCCCGCGTTCAGAGCCCATTCCCCTCTCGTCGGCGTCGGCATCGCCAATTTTTACCCGAGCTGCCCCGCATTCTCCGCCGTCGTCCGTTTGCTCCGCTTCTTGCTGCGTCCACACCAGGTCCCCCGTTCGGACATGGTGACCCAACGTAGCCAACCTGTGCGCCACCGCCTCGTTCCAAACTCTGCATCGTTATAAAAAAACAGATGGGAGTCATAAAAGACCCCGCCGGCCACGCGTAAGAGTGTTTTCCTTGCGGCCGACCTGCTGCAGTAGGCGTGCGGATAGAAAACTCTCATGCCGTGCGGCAGGCTGAGCCAGGCTTTGGCGCAGCCCTCCGGGCCGGTGCCGTAGCGGTTCAGGGCGCGGAGCATGAGCCGCTCCCTGGCTTTGGACGCGGGCATTAATGCCAAGGACTCCTTCGCGTTATCTGGAGGGAGGAGAAAAAAAAAAAGTTTCAGTGTGACTATTTACAACCCCCCAAATAAAACCGCACTATTAAAAAGTAATCACATATTTCCCAGGAAGCACATTTGAGATCACTGATGTGAGTTTTTTTTTTTTTTTTTCCTGCAGCGTTAGCAGGAAGTGAGTGAGGCGGCGTTGACGCACCAGTCTGGAGGAAGTGTCTCTTGGCTTGGCTGGGAGGATCGTCGCCGTCCTCGGGACTGAAGAACAAACGGACGGCGTTCACCTAAGCGCGAGACAGCGGCGTACGTTGAGTTACGAAATGGCCCAGAATTCGAGCCTCACTTAAAACAGTCAAAAGCCAAAAAATAAAAAAAATGACACGTTTTAAAAATGGGCGGCCAGGGGGGCTTGAGTCAGACATATTTGTGCATATGATTCAAAAGTGAAAAATGAACTCAAAGCAAACCGCAGCAATACTCACCATGTCTTCTTTGAGTAAAGCCAGTCCCACCAAGTCAGACTGAACGCTTTGGCCCGTTCCGAACCTCTGCGGCCCGTAGTAGTTGACAAAACCTCGGACCTAAACCAAACAAAAAGCGCAACCCCCACCCCCCGATCAAGTCGAAGAAGGCGGAGCATAGGTAGGAGCAAAGGTAGGAGCATTCTGACTCCGGTCACCTGAACATTCTGCAGCGCTTCCTCCACCAGGCCGGCAAGGCGACGTTGCGTCTCGGCGCCCGAGTGCGCCGCGCTGCCGCCGTGCGACTTGAGATCGCGCACCACCAGGTCAAAGTGGTTTCCCCGCAGTCGTCCCAGCTTCAGCGGCTCGGCCGCCGGGCGGATGTGTGAAAGACGCATCCCTCGCTTCTCCAACTCCGCCCGCTTCTCCATCAACCTAGTGTGAAAAGATTTTTGTTTGTTTGTTTTTTTTTGTCAGTGTGTTGGGTGTTGGAAGCATCCCGCGGAGAACTCTACTCCCCGTTGTTACCGTTGAGGCGAGACCTTCTTGACCACCATGGATTGGTAGGTGAGTGCTCGCTTGTCCTTGATGCCGGCGTAGGTGAAGTCTGACGGCAGGACGCCGAGTGTCGCCGCCATGTAGCTGATGGCCTCCAGAGTCTCCAGGTTTTCCTTACACAGAGTGAACGCTGGAAGAAAGACCCCGGTGAGGAATCGAACACATTTTTGCGGCGTTCGCTCACCTGTGTAGACGTCCTCCTCCCTGCGCTCCTCGGCGCTCCTCTTCTTGGGTCTGCCGCGCTCCCTGAGTCGCACCGAGATGGCGGTCCTCTCCTGCTGGTTGAAGCTCTTGGTCTCCACCAGCTTCCCAAAGCGGCGGTTGAGGAAGTGGTGCACGGCCGTGCGGTGCTCCTTGTTGTCGTCGGGGTGAAACGTGTAGGACGAGTCCTGCACTTTGGCGTCGATGAACCGGAAGAAGTCTTCCGCCTCCTCCTCGGTGACCAGCTGGGAAAGCTCCCTGTAGTCCGGGTCCTCCCTCACCCTGATCTCGGGCTGGATGGTGACGGTCATCAGGAAGGGGAAGCGGTGTCGGACGGCCCGGTGGACGTTGGCTCGCTGGTACTTGTCGGTGAAGGAGCCCAGGGAGAGCTCCTTGTGGCCCGACTCCTCACCTTCCTCCGCCTCGTCTCGGAGACTCACCACAAACTGCTCCAGCTGTTCGCTCACCGCCTGACCCAAGACCATGCTCAGGTCTAAGCTGTCAGGGCTCGATATGGTCAAATCGAACCTGCAGTCAGCTGCGAAATCGCCATCCTCTGAACCCTGGTGGTTCTGATCCCGCTTACGGCTCCCACTGCTCTTGTCCGTGGACTGAGGAGCCAGAGTGGCCGCTCCTGTATTCACCTGCCGTCCATCGGTGTCTATTTCCGTCACCACAAAGTCTCGGATAAACTTTTTAATGTTTCCAAGAAACCCCTCGTGGTTTGAGATGAAGCACGCGGGCACACTAGCGGCATCGCCGTCCTGCTTCATTGTCATTGTAATCTGGACAAATAACCCGCAGCGGAAATCAACGGCGGTGAACTGTCGATCGGGAGGCGTTTTGGCCGCAGAGGTTACGAAGCTATTAGGAACAGACGCCCCATATTTGACACAAAAGACTGCTCCGCGACGTAGCGGAGTAATTACACAATAGTTCCAATCCAGTCCAACAACGGAGAGCAAAACACTTGGCGATCAATAGGTATCGAATAACAGGGTTGTGGAAAAAAACGCGCCCCCTCTCTTCCCCCAAAAAAACGTAAATTCAGTGAGCAGCGTGTTTTCGAGTAGCCCGCTGGTGGCACGTAAACAAAACAACACAGCACGCTGAAACCTCTGCTTCTGGGGCACGTGACACGTCACGTGACCTCATTTTCTTAAAGGGACAGTCACGCGTGCGAAACGTTTCACTCCGATTAAAAATAAAGAAAAGTGAATTATAAAGCAGTTGCCGAAGGAATGCAAGGAAGGACCAACAAGCATGGCATTGTTTGACTTTATTCATACACGGTGAACATCTTTGTCTACGATACAGTAAATTGCAATAGAGCAGAAGTGCTAATGCCATCTTGTGGGCAAACGCCTACTTTACAGTTCTTTTGTTCCCCCTGCCTTTACTTTTGCGATATCCCACCCAATGATCTTCTTCAACAATGTTATCCAACTTTTCTTTATTACATAAATCACAAATTATTCAAACAAATCAGCTCGAAAGGCCTTTACAAAAAAAAAAAAAAAAACAACAAACTATGAAGCAAGCTTAACATCATGCTAGATTCAGTCAAGATTGGCTATGCAGTGATTTGCGACTGTTTTCCTTTCTGTGACCATTCATTTTCTATTGCATTCCAATCATAACCCGGTTGCCAGTCAACCGCGGGGCGCACCGAAGAACAATTTTGAGTCATCAATAAACCCAACATATGTATGTTTTTGGAATGTGGAACTAAGGAACAAGAAAAAAAAAACATGCAAGTTCCAAAAAGGAAGGTGGACATTTCAACCCTGACTGTCAATGCTTTGGTAAATTGTTGATGTCCGGCAACTCTCAGAAGACCTCCAAGTCTGCTGCGCTGTACACCACGGGCGTCTCCTCCGTACCCACGGCGTGCTCTTCCTCCTGGCCCTCCTCTTCCTCCTTTGCGGCCTCTTCCAGTGACTCCAAAGCCTCGTTAGTATCGCTGGCAAAAGTCTCCCTGGAGACATCGTCGTGTTCCTGCAGGTTGAGAGTGCTGATGGCCTGCTTCATCTTCTTGGCCACCAAGTGCCGCCTCCTCTTCTGGGCCGCCTTTTTGCTCCTCTGATCCTTCTGACTCTCATCAAAAAAGATCTCTCTTATCTGGGCCCGGGAGATGCTGGGCGTGTTCTTCAAAAGGTTGAGGTACACCCCGCCGGGCGTGCGGCGCCGGCTGCCATCCATGGTGTAGACGCCGCCCTTTTCCTCCAGCGTGGCTGTCTCGCCAAGCAGTTCTATGGCCTTTCTTGTCCCGACGACCCTCACGACACGTTCTATCAGGTCTTTTTTGGGCTCTTGCAGCCTGTACACGATCTCATCCACGACTTTATCCTCGGGGTCATCTTCAGTGATCTCATAGCGGCCTTTAATGTCCATCTCGGCTAAAGGACCGAGTCTCTCTTTCACTGGTCTTTTCCTCTTCGCGTCTCCTCCCGCTCTCTCCTCTGACCCGTGGCCCCTCATGTAGTCATCCAACTGGTCATCCAGCATTTTCACCTCCCCTTCATCTTGTTGCCGTTTCTCCATCTGCCTCTCCTTCTCCATGATCTTATGAGCAAGGACGTAGTTGTAGGTCTCCACGTTTCTGTCAGACATGCAAATCTCACCCTCCATGCCAAAGAGGCACAGTTCTGCAGCGACAGCATCCTGGCACTGCTCTTGCACAACAGAGCCCCAAATGTTGTTCACCTTGCGGCCACTGAGTGCGCATGCGTCGCGGTTCGACGCCGGCCGGGCAATGGCTGCGGGTGCTTGGCGAATGTTGGATACTTTTTGACGTTTGCGGCGCCAGGCGGTACATTCCTCATCGGACGAGTCCGGGTCGCTGTCGCTTGACTCCGTCGGCCTAACGAAGTTTCTATAGGCAGTTGCAGGTGGAGAAGTGTGATCGCTCAAGGCTGTATGTTGCAAAGGTCGGGCTGGCGGCGCCGCTGTGGCAGTTTTCATCTCAGACTCTGACTCGGAACCAGAAAGCTCCCCATCTTCCAGATCGCCGTCCATATCTGAAAGCCACAACAAAGACGAGAGCCGTGAACGACATGCGGTGGCACCTTCGATTTTTAGCAACACGAGCACAACTCTTGGAGTTTGTTTCTATCACAGTATAGACACACACGAATTACCTTCAAATGGTCGATCACAACGAATACGTACACTTGCGATTCAGATGTGCGCCAGACTACCTTAGCCGCTTAACTATTGTGGCAACGTTACCAAACTTAACATCCTAGCTCAGGAAAATTGGCGCTATGCTAAAGCATCACTTCCGCCGTCGTTCCTGCAAGTCCCTTTCAAAATACTGTCAATTGTGCCTGAAACTGGAACGTCACTTCTGACATACATTTCCAACGACGTCTTGACTATAGCAGAATTTGCGTTTAGTATTTAGTTGAGAACTTATTCAACAAAAAGGCTCAAGAAAAAGGCGAACACAAATTCCATGCATTACATACATAAACGGAGGGGGCGGGAAGGGGATCAATGTTTAGTGGATGTGACGTAAACGGAGGGTGAAGGGATAGGCGTTTAGCGGATGTGACGTAATTTGAGCGGGAAGGGGATAGCTGTTTAGCGGATGTGACACGTTACTTCCGGTTTCTTCGTCTGACAGCAATATGGCGGCGTCATTGCGTTTGCTGGCGTCCGTGGGGAACGGTTTCCTCCGCAGATCGTTATTGGAGAACAATTACCTCGCCAGAGTAAGTACAACATGTTACCAGACATCTGTTTGAACCGAATCATGTTCGATATTTGTATCAACTCATTTCGCCAAGGCGACGTTCGTCGATCAGTTGCTGCGTCGTCGAGCTAGCTAACATGTTTAGCACAAACAATTTCAGTAATGTAGTCGACGTCGCGTAACTGTCAACTTGTACGTTTTCCCTGTATTTTGTAAGTTTTTTTATCATTTCAAATCATGTTCGGCGTATTACAACTTTTATACGGGGAAAAAAAACAATTGTTAACCGATTTCACAAAGACCATTTTGTCGTCTCACCTGCTGGTAGCCAACGACGATGCCGTCGTCGATGGGTACTATTGTCACGGCAAACCAGCAAAAGTAATCCTCAATCGTATATTTTCATCGCTGCGTACGGTCGGATTGATGAAGCATGATGTGCGCATGCGCGGTAAACCGTACGTGTTTTTGTTGCGGGGAAGGGCATAGATGTTTAGCGGATGTGACGCATTACTTCCGGGTTCTTCGTCCGACAGCAATATGGCGGCGGCATTGCGTTTGCTGGCGTCCGTGTTTCCTCCGCAGATCGTTATTGGAGAACAATTACCTCGCCAGAGTAAGTACAACATGTTACCAGACATCTGTTTGAACCGAATCATGTTCGATATTTGTATCAACTCATTTCGCCAAGACGACGTTCGTCGATCAGTTGCTGCGTCGTCGAGCTAGCTGACATGTTTAGCACAAACAATTGCAGTAATGTAGTCGAAGTCACATACCTGTCAACTTGTACGTTTTCCCTGTATTTTATACGTTTTTTTAATCGTTTCAAATCATGTACGGCGTATTACAATTTTTATACGGCGGGAAAAAATAATTGTGAACCGATTTCACAAAGACCATTTTGGCTCAAATCCAGATCGTCTCACCTGCTGGTAGCCAACGACAATGCCGTCGTCGATCGCTACTATTGTCACGGCAAACCAGCAAAAGTAATCCTCAGTCGTAATTTTTTTTTTCATCGCTGCGTACGGTCGGATTGATAAAGCATGACGTGCGCATGCGCGGTAAACCGTTCGTGTTTTGGTTGCTTTGGAAGGGGAATCGTAATCATTTATAAGGGCAGCTATTAGCCGAGGTTGACAGGTATTACTTAATGTCGTAATTTTGTCCATGTGGGCGTTTGAAATTTTAATTATGCAATGTTCTTGTCTTTTGGTAGTTCACTGCTGGACCCCGCCGACTGTTGACTGCGCAGGCCACTCACCACGTAGCTTTAAATGTCCCTGAAACAAAGGTGACCGCTTTGGAAAATGGACTGCGTGTGGCTTCTGAGGACTCTGGACTTTCCACGTGCACAGTAAGTTTGTAAAACGACCCTGACTCTCACTCAACTGTTGAAAATATGATACAACCAGTATTGCGCCAGGGCACCTATTTTGCATGATAGAAACATCACCGCACACCACCATGCAAAAAGGCCACCACAAAGTATGAATCATGAAATAAAGATTTTTCTCGACTCAATTATACATATGCATTGAATATTTCAATGTGGATTTTGGGCCTGTTTACAAAGCGGACATGCACATAGAAAGGTTGGGCTTATTCTGTTGTATGATTTGTCAAAAGATAACTGCATTTGTTGCTGGTGTGAATATATGGACAGAACAAAGTTCTGAAATATTTGTTCTGAATAAGTCACACTTTGCAGAGAAAAATTGCATGCTATCTAGCTCCCATTGCATGAATCACTGCTGAACACAAAGTGGCTGCTTTCAGGTTGGCCTGTGGATTGACGCTGGCAGTCGTTATGAGAACGAGAGAAATAACGGCACAGCTCATTTTTTGGAGCACATGGCTTTTAAGGTAAGACAGGTATGGTAGGCTACGGAGAAAAAGTACAAAAAGAAAAAAAAATTGTGAATAGTCTTGGATGTTTTTGGGCCTTAGATACCAGAATTACTGAAAACCCAGTGACGTAACTAAAACTAACTTTGCCATAGTTCCTCAAATAATGGGCAAGGGCGTTTTTTTTTCTTTTCCCCCCCTCTAATGAGCATGTATAGTAAGGTGTTTTCCTCCAACAAAAAAAGGACCATGTATTGTAAGTCGTTTTTAATAACAAAAACCCGACCATGTAGAGTAATCGTTTTTAACAACAATAAAACCGACCATGTATAGTAAGGCGTTTTTTTTTAACAGAAAAAAAAACTGTATAGTAAGGCGTTCTTCACAAAAAAAAAAAGACCATGTGCAGGAAGGCTTTTTTTTAAAACCATATATAGTAAGGCGTTTTAAACAACAAAAAATGACCATGTACAGTGATGCCTCGCTATATCATGCTTCATTTATCGCGGCTTCATTACCATATTTTCACGACCAAACAGTGCACCGCATTAAGCGGCGCAGTGTCAGTTGAGTGCTCTTTTTGTATTTAACAAATCCAAATAACATGCCCTGCATTATTGGACGCAGGCATGGTAAAACGCTATCATAAACAATACGGTTTCATGTACGCTCTCTTATGTTTTTAAAAAGGCAGGAGGAGCAAAATTGAGTTCGGTGGTAATTCATTGAAGTATTTAATAGTTGCCCAGATGGATAATTAGTGCCAAGAAGGACCTCTTTGAGAATGTTCGCTTTTCATTTCTTCTGCAAACATTTTTGCCCTCAGTGGAATGGTGACTGAAGAAACCCTTCTCCCGGCAATTATTTGACCGTGAATTATTATATTTTGTCCAATCCACGTACCGGCATTGTATACCCCTACCGGTGGGTGTGCCTTTAGCGTCCTCTTTCACGCCCACCTCTCCCTTAACGACAGCACGAGTGGATTTATCCTGTGAGCTGATTGGCATCTTCACAGCCCCCCCGCACCTTGCCTTGTGTCTCTTCACGCTGTTGACTCTCTGGCATAATGTCAGAGAGTCAACAGAGCGAGAATGAATTGTCCTATCATAAACACATCGGCAGAGCTGGCCAGGAGCTAGCTGGAGGCTAACGCCGGCTACACCGCCAGAGCGTCAAATCAGGGCCGCCTTATACGCCACCAGCACAAGTCTCTTCGCTTCTCTCAGAAGGCAATGCTGATGAATGTTAATTACTGTATAAGGTTTTGTAATTAAAAATTGAAATAAATACATATACAGTACTGCTGTGGTCTTTGTCTGAAGTTTGTAAAATATAAATACTGTTTACATGTTTGAACCATGCTGGTACCCACATACACTGAGACAGAAATTCCGAGGCGGGGAGAAACCCCTCCGTGTGTTTTGACTTATTGCGGCAAGGTCTCAGTCCCCATTGACCACAAAGTGAGGGATCACTGTACAGTCAGGCATTTTTCAAAACAAAATAACGGCCATGTACAGTGAGGCATTTTTAACGAAAACTAACATGTACGGTAAGGTGTTTTTCATTTAAAAAAAAAAAGGGTGTAGTAGGGTGCTTTTTCACAACAATGTATAGTAACGCGTTTTTAGCTGGAAAAAAAAACGACCATGTACAGTAAGCCGTTTTAGCCTGAAAAAAACTACCATAAGGCGTTTTACCCTGAAACAAACGACAACGTATAGTAAGGCATTTTTAGCTCCCCAAAAACGACCTTGTATACTAAGGCTTTGTTAGCACGACAAAAACGACATCGTATAGTAATGCGTTTTAGCACGAAAAAAACGACCATGTATACTAAGGCATTTTTAGCCAAAAAAACGACCATGTATAGTGAGGCGTTTTTAGCTTAAAAAAAACGACCATGTATATAGTAAGGCGTTTTTAGCTGAAAAAAACGACCATGTATAGTAAGGCCTTTTTTGCTGAAAAAACGACCATGCATATACTAAGGCGTTTTTAGCCAAAAAAACCGACCATGTATAGTAAGGCGTTTTTAGCTGAAAAAAACGACCATGTATAGTAAGGCCTTTTTTGCTGAAAAAACGACCATGTATACTAAGGCATTTTTAGCCAAAAAAACGAACCATGTATAGTAAGGCGTTTTTAGCTGAAAAAAACGACCATGTATAGTAAGGCCTTTTTTGCTGAAAAAAACGACCATGTATACTAAGGCATTTTTAGCCAAAAAAACGACCATGTAAAGTAAGGCCTTTTTAGCTTAAAAAAAACGACCATGTATAGTAAGGCGTTTTGAGCTGAAAAAAACAACCATGTATAGTAAGGCGTTTTTAGCCCCCAAAAAACGACCATGTATAGTAAGGCGTTTTTCGCTCCCAAAAAACGACCATGTATAGTAAGGCATTTTTAGCCCCAAAAAAATGACCATGTATAGTAAGGCGTTTTTAGCC